ACTGGCTAATTCGCTAAGCTCTGATTCATACTTCCATGTATTCAAACAGGGAAAGTCATTCCAGGCAGCAAGCAATACCAATTAACAGTGTCACAGTTAATGAAATGCTTGCTCCAGTATTTCCCATTACTCAACTGCAGGACATATGACTAATAAATAATACAGGTGCAGTACAAAGAAGGTATTTTATAAATGAGAACTAAACCCCACAAGTTCATCACGTTAAGCAAGGCTTGCCACCCTACACCCTGTATGAACTCTTACTTTGTATACTTGGTGAATAAACCTCCACTTATCAGATAAACCCATAACCTATAAAGATATTCTTCAGGTCAATGAGGGGAAAAAAACCCAAAGCTTTCCTCACTTGTAAGTAATTCTCTGCTTGTGGCTGGTTTTCAGCTCTGTGTAGTCTTCTCCCCCCCTCCCCCAGTTAAAACCTGTGAACTTCAAAGTGACAAAAAAGTCTGCAAAGGCGGCCATCTGCATCTGCTGTGCTGACTCAGACTGCAACAGATCTCACAAATTAAAAAGAGAGAAAAGTGCATCTGAGTAGTTCTTTGAAGATCCCTCAAACAGAATTTTTTCCTGTATTAATTAAAATGCAAACACCGTTCTCACTTCTAAAACCAGTTAACTTTGCTTGTCTTACAATTTTACCAGTTGTCCCAAGTGGACAGAAGAGATAAGACATCATTTTTCTTTTTCTCCTGTCATCTCCAACCAACTATGTAAGTTCTCTCTGAAAATGTAGACCAGGAAAGATGTGACTAGTATGAAATCTCACAGTGTAAAACCAACTGTATTCCAGAATTAAAGGAGTTTCATCTTATTGGGCTCCTGACTTTGTGGAGACTATTACATGTTTGTTAATAGTAACAGTAAATTTTCTGAATGAAACCACATAGGTACTTTCTGAGCCATGCTCCTATTATTCCACACCCTTATTGCCCATTTCATCACTAGGTATTTGATTCTGTAACAAAAAGTATTTGGCAACAACTGAAATCTGCTAGTCATAATCAGTCACTGGTATGTTAAGCAGTTTCACTGACGATACACTTAAACATGCTTGCAGAGTTTTTGAAACTGTGGCATCATTTCACAGTTCTGTAAAAAAAAAAAAGAAAAGATCTCTGAAATGTGTTTTTAATTGACAGCTGCAAGGGACATCTGCAATACAACATATGTGCATTCAGCACACACATCAGTAAAAGCTGGCAGAAACACAACTACATACCTAATCCAAGCTGATAATTAAAAAACTGACATAAATTTTTTAGGTTTGAAGAGTCCCAAAATCAAAAATGACAAAAAAGTATTTACAGCTGAACGCTATCATTCTTCACGCTCAAGTAACAATACATAATTACCTCCACCGAATTAACTAAACAGCTGATTTTTTGCATGATTTACTGAACCATCAACATACTTTAATGATGGGAACAGTATTTTCTTGCATATTTCTGAGAAAGGTTTTCTTTGTGGAAGTTGACTGATTCCACTGAAATGGAATCGAAGCTGCTTCTCCCTTCGCATCGATGGAAGTCTGCCTAGCTACAGCACGCGGTGGTTGAAAGTATCAACGCTTGACATTTGCTAATTGTTGTGCACCGAGTTAATAAGGCTTTCACTAAAACGAATTAAGATTGCCATCACAATGAATGGAAATGATAGAACTGTCAATAATCATGCCGAAAAAGCAGAAGTGCTAAAAAATATTTCTGTTCTCTCTTTGGGAGAAAGCCAGATGCTGTATTCAGATCACACAATAATGATGTTGAAATACTTTCCATTCCAGTAACTAAGGAGGATGTTAAAACAACTGCTACTCAACTCAAACAATATTAAGTTGCCAGGTCTGGGTAACTTGTAAGTAAGTGTTTCAAAAGAACCAACTAAGGACATATCCAGATGGCTAATGTTTATTATCAATCCATTTCAGAACAGTGGGGAAGCCCCAGGTGACTTGAAGAATGTTAATATTATGTCAATATTTTAACAGGGTAAACAGAATGACCCAGAATGCCTGTCAGCGTTACATAAACTTGATACAGTAAAAGAATTATAAATAAAGATGGTTTAGTTAACGACAGTGGATTTTAACAGTGTTTTAGATAAGGCAGCAGTACTGATGTAACAGGCAAAGCTCTGCAAGGATTTGCTTCGGTGCAGTATGGTTTTTGCAATAAGAAACAAGAACATGATAAATCAATATGGTGCGCACATGCAAACTGGTCCAAACACAAGCTGATACATCTTGAAATCTAATTTAAATTTTAATCAAGCAGGTTTATTAGTTCTTGATCTTTTTTTATCATCACTTACCATTCAGCGTTGTTAACAATGACCTGGAAGAAAACAGAAACTGTTACTGATAAAGTCCTAGATGACAAAGATCAAGTGAGTGCAACACAATTTGAAGAACATGCCATTGTTAAAGAATTGTTGAAACTGCTTCGCTATCCAGACAGAAACAAACACCATGCATGGCCACACAGCCAAGCTTAAGGCCATACTTCTAGGAACAACAAATGCAAGCAGCTCTGCTTTTTGGCAGGGATAAAAATAGGTTCCTACCTAGGCCAACAGGTAAAAAAATGGGGACAGCAAAATTGCTCTGCTGGAGATGGCCATCGTCAGATGCCTCTTCTCGCTGCACTTTTTGGCAGACTCTACCTTCCATCTGCGCAGCCCTAAATAAGCTGGATTCCTCCCAGTTGTTCCAAGCATCTAATGATGCTTCCCAGCCCTGCACCGTGGCCCATAAGAACTCCCACCATGGCCTCCCAGGGCTCTGTTGCACCTTCCAGTCTCCACCTGCACCGCATGCTTTCACCATTGCCATGAATTAAATCGAGTCGAAAAGCCCGGAGCCAGCACCGAGTGTAGGACGTGGTGGTGGTGCCCTTGGCTGGGAGGCTGAGATGCAGTGGAAGAGCTGGGGGACAGGAGAGCTTTGCGAAACTGTGACTCATGGGTGAGCTTCAGTGCAACACCACAACTGGAAGTGCAGAAATGCAGCCCTTGGCTGAAGA